AGTTGGCGCGAGTCTTCAACAATAATTTCTAGCTGCCTGTCAACACGGACAAAAAAATGTCACATATAGTTGTCACATAAAAATTGCTCGTGTAGACGGGTCTTAGAAATCGAAGGCACTTCCATTCGGCCACGCGTATAATTGTGGTTAGACTTTGTCTTTGAAGTGCAGGTGCTCGCTCCTGGTTGTCAAGAATCAAAGTTAAAAATGATTAGTTTTAGTGAAAAAAAAACTGTATTCATAAATCATTCACATTAAAATTATATTTGTAAAGTAAATCATAATTTGATTCGTCTTACCGTTCAGTCACAAAGGTTGAAGCAAGCAAAGAAGACGATCCTCCAAATTCGTCGTTTTGAAAATGATTGTACGAAGGTGCTGGCCCGTGCTTATCGAGAACCCAAGTTCATCTCGATATTTCATTTTAGAGGATGTTAAAATACTTATATCCCTCCATTTACGCACAGAACACAAAAGACTTGGTTGAGGAAAACTAGTTTCGACTTTACTAAACCTTTTCAATTCACAACAGTTGTAGATCGAGGAATTGAAAAGCTCTAGTAAAGACGAAACTAGTTTTCCTCAACCAAATCTTGTGTGTTCTGTGCGTCAAAGGAGGGATAACAGTTGCTTGACATCCTCTAAAATCAAGTTAATATTCTTGCACTCCTTATACATCAACATTCAAAGACTATCTGAATTCAATTTGAAAGTGTTTTTTGAATAATACGGCAGGCATGTGTTACAGGCATCTGTAATGGCACATCTGTTGCTTCTAGATACAAATCCAAAATTTCATTGCGGACTTACTTGGACAGTTTCTTTGTTATCTAGGTTTGAACATAAATGTACCAAAAACACAAATTTCTCTCTCCGACAGATTAAGATATTTTTTAAAAGAAATTGTCCCTTTAGCCTTAATTGTTAAAGCGGATACTATTTGACTGTTTCATGGTACTAACATGTAATATTGCTTTTTAAACAAAATTGTTTTTTGACACACTAAAACCACACTAAACTTTCAATGAAACATCTTTTGTCTATTGACCGTATCAATTGTAATCGTTGATACGTTTAAACCACAAATTCTTTGATGATCCAATTTAAGTAAATATMTATTTGGCTGTTTGTTGAAGTTTATATTGTTTGATTTAATTGGACTAGCGACATCGATAGTTATTATTGGTTTTTGACACTTGCGGTGATTTTTTTGCGTCTTTCGCTGCCAGATGTAGCGCTACTAGTCGTGGCAGCATTTACCCAAAGATCGAAAATTTAACATATTTGTGGCTAAAACAAAAGTCAAACTTAGTATTTTTGGGTAATTTCATCAGTAATGAATGTGGAGAAATGAAGCCATAATGTAACTTTAAGCTCTTTATGTTGGAAGCCCACGTGATCATGTGATCACTAGTATTCGTCGATTTGCTCCACCTTTGCTCTGGTATTCTGGTTTTCCTTGCGAATAATTTTTATTAGGCAAACTCAATTTTTTTTCACCCACTAACATTGAAATTTATATTGTTTGCTTAATAATTGAACTCCAAGTTTTCTTAGGGATTTAGTTGTTATTGTTTTTTGACACTTGCGGTGATTTTATTTGTTTTTCGGATCCAGATGTAGCGCTTCTGGTCGTGGCAGCATTTACTCATAGTTGTAGCTCGAGTGGTATTCATCTCACCGGCGCTCGCTTGTGTTTATCCAGAACCGAAGTTAAATTATAAAACTATATTCATAAATCGTTTAAAATTCTATTCGGTAAGTAATTATAAYTTTATTCATCATTATATCTTTCTGTATTCGTCTGCACAATCAATCTTCGAGTTGTGTTGCCATTGGCGGCTTGATTCCGATTTGTCTTGAACAGGATATGGATTTTTACTTTTTAGTGTATTAAAGTGCTACTTGCATGAAAATGGTCATAT